AAAAAAAAAGAAAAAAAAAGAACTCAGCAAAAAGAACAGGGAAGGGAAGGCACAATTAAGAGAAGTTTCTTAGAAGACTTATGTTCAGATCTTGACTGGGTGAAGGAAACCCTCAGCTTGTAGAGATGTAACACTAAAAGTTAAAATTTCCACAAAAGTTTATTGAAAGGGTGAGAAAGAACAACCAAACAGAACCTTTGGCCTCTTTCAGCAAAGCCCACCCTCAACGTAGGGAGTGCACAGTCAGCGATGCACTTATTGACATTCCTCGGCTGGGGGAACATGAACATTTACAGAAATAAGTGTTTCTCTGAATCACATTAGTAACGCCTGGGGAGCAAGATCTGAGACGTGTTAAAAAGGGAACTTCTTCTTGTTCTCATATTAAAACACTTTTCTCTATCTAAATATCAAAGTGTTCGTCATTTTTCTCATGTTATCCCTTTGCCTTCCTTGCTTGTTCTTCTCTTCATACACGGTGTATAAAGGAAATTAAGTGTTTGTTTCCTACACTGGTCTAATATTCTGTCATCTGACCAGCAATTCAGACAGTCCATGAAAGGCAGAATCCCCAGAAGGAATATTGCACATAGAGGATTCCAAAGTTTTCACCAGCTTTAGGTAAATTTTGTGAGAAATAAACTGTCCTACCCCTTTAGCTCTCATTTCAGCTTTATAAGTCATAAGAAGAGCAAGGAAAAAAAAATCAGCTTTTTTTTTTTTTTTTCCAAAAATATATTATCTTGATATAAAATAAAATACATTCCTTAGTCATGTTTGCTTTAATTAAAAACAGCCAATATGGCTTTCTTAAGTGCTTAGAATAAAACCTCTGTTTTCATTTTATTTCATTCTGAATATATTTGCAATTGAGTTCAGCATTTCATGTTTGTTTGTTTGTGTTTCTGTAGTCTGAATTATGCTGTCCTACATTCTTCAGCTGGAATAGTGTCTTTCTAAAAGTGCAAAGATATCAAAGGATTCAGGAAATTAGACTTTATTATAGACAATAGAGCTTTAACAGACAGAGAACCAAAATAATGAAACAGAAAAGGTTTTGGAAGGCTTTCTGTTGCAATGAATGTTTGAAATTTATTTTTCCATCTCAATTCACAAACTTTTTATAAAATGGTATTTCTGTGTTTCAGTCAAATCACAGACTTTTAATTCTTGTTCACAGGTGCACTTCACATTGACAACAGGAAAAGAATAGATGTGAGAAAGGAAATATATCAGTTTTATCTAGTAGTCTCCTAAAAAAAGGTTAACACATTTCTGTTGTTACTCCTCCATGACAAAGAAGTGAGACGGTCATCTTCCGCTTTTTTAATCTTTCTATTTCAGTACACCTTTTACTGTTTTAATCACCAAGTTTTGTCCACTAAAGGGAAAGGAATCACCATCCCCGTCAAAAGAGGCGCTAAGCAGCTGTCACCTTTGCTTATGGTTATAGCTCGGAAAAAAACTGGTGTTACTGAAGTTCCAAGTGAGCTTTCTGTGTAGAGTGCCATGAGTGAGAGGGTATGAAGAAGAGCAAAAAAATCCTCCCTGGATTTAGTGAGGTTTGCTCCAGAAGATGCAGGTGTTCTTAATACCTATTATTGAACTGAAATAAATCTGCTTACTAAATGTTCTAGAAATGAGGCAAGCAGAAAAACTTAACATTTCTCTCTCGCTGTCAAAGTCTCTCTGACTAATGTAAATGGCAATAAGACTGGACTTTCTCACCTGAAGAATCCTTACTGAGTTTTTCTTTCAGTCTACCTATATGTTCATTTGTCATAGTTCAGATCTGGCTGTTGCTAAAATAAAAGCAAAACAATGTCTTTATTACAGGGATATTTATATAACAGTGTATTTTTACAGTTTATGAAATCATAGCTGAGGGTTGATATTTTAAAATTACTCTACAGGAAAGTTTATTTTGCAGTGAATCATGCAAGGTCCACAGATTTGAATTGTGTTGTAGGCCTGAAATTGCAAGAAAGCAACTCACAAATGTAGAGGGAACCTAATTCTATTGCTTATAAAAAATACTTTCTCACTTTATTTATGACATTTTCAACTAAAACCACAAGTGATAGACAGATGCTGTGGTTGCGGTGGAGGAAGGACTTAAAAGTACCCTGAACGAGATAGAAACATAAGTACAGTGCTAACTAAACCCAAATAAAAACAATAACGGGAGAGATGAAGAATGTTGAAATGCTATGTTGTGAGTCCAGAAGCTTAATCTGGCCATTTAAAAGGCAAAATATCAAAAGTAAGTGTGACAGTGCAGAAAATTCTGCTGGCCCAGGCTTTAATGAGCAAGGAATTCAGCAATAGAGCCCCAGAAAGATTTGGCAAAAGGAAAGGCAAAGATGGAGTGATGGTCTATATGATGTGAAACAGGTTGTGAACTTGCAAGTCTTGTGTGCTCTGCATGCTCCCTCCTCCCTTGCAGAAGACACTAGGGAGTTATTCACTCCTTGTGAAGGACATCTTCCTTACCAAAAACCATGACAAGAGGACCCACCCTATTTGGAGAGCTTTTGTCGGCATCTAAACACAAAGCCCAGAACTTTACAATCCAGGCGCCCTGTTGAAAAGGTGCTTAAATGTGGGAGGCACTTGTGTTTTACTGACAGTTTTGCTCCACAAACATGTAAAATCTACCTTTAGGCAGGCCACAAATCCCGACACTGTTTTGCATATTTATTATCAGCATGTGCTATCTGAAAAAGCAAATTCAGAAGCTGCTTTCAGAAAATACCTTTGTGATTAGTGTAAGAGATATTGAACAGCTTTATGCCTAGTGCGATAGATTTAATGGAGGTTTTCACCCATACTCCCACCTCCCAAGTACAGAGTATCTGTAGGAATAGCATCTACAGATGAGATCTCTCAGTCCCTGAGAGCAAATATCTTTCACTTGCAAAGGCCTGTTATTAAAGCTCTGTAGTTACTTTGGTATACATAAAACCTTTTTTCTGGGAAATGCAGGGTTACTAGGCACAAATAGGTGTCACTTGAAACAGATTTTTGAGGCAATAATGGGTGCATGAGTAGATGTTTATTATGGTAAGTCACAGACAGAAGAGTTAAAATAGACAGCATTACCTTTTTTCAAGAGCCTACTGTCAGTTAAGTGCCCTTCCAAGTTCCCCTGGAAGAGTTAGTTTCATTCTTGATATCATTCCAACAAGGACAGAATTTCATCTGGAATGGATTTGGCTCAGAGGTTTTTTTTTGTAGTTGTGATCATGTGATGTGCTTATTATTCAGAACATGTTTGTTCTGTGCCTTGTGCATGATATATTCAGAACACGTCTCTGACATCTTTGCTGTTCCTACTTTCTCGTGCCTTTTTCTGTGTTTCCAATAGCTCAGCTAGAAACCCCCTGAAAGACTGTCAACATTAGTAAACATTCCCTGCTTGATGCTGACTCTATTTCTGAGTATTTTTAACTAACATTTGAAGTACTGTATCTTACTGATGAAATCAAGAAATAACAGAAGTAAGCCTACACCAAGCTTCTTACTGCTATAGCTGCTATTTTTATTTTATTTTATTTTATTTTAAGGGTTTAATATTTCTTTCCTGCACTGCAGCCATCATCTTTGCCAGGTCTCAAGAATCATCAACAGTTATTTTGTGAAAGTCGTTTGATAAGAACTTCTGTCAGAAAGCCAAGCTTTTGTCAGAATGGTAGTTGTGAGACAGTTGAGATATGAGGACTGAAGGCTGATCACCTCTCTGAGGGGCAGATCTGCTACACTGCTCTCTGGCTATGACTACAGTTAAATTAAAGGTCTTATTTAACTGGATCTGAGGTTAAATGACACCGAATGACTCGTGCCTATGTTTATAGAAACTGGCTTCTCTTGCGGCAAGTGTTTCTTGGAGAGATGAAACAGTGGAGATGATCAGAGTCCGCAAGTAATACTGCGTGCTTGTACTCATTCTCTGACCCTCTTTATTAATCAGCATAGATGTGCCCAAAGTTACCAGCTGGCTTGGCCTGGAATCTTTTTCAGGTCCATAGTCCCGCTCTTCACAGAATTTACTGATAATTGATTATCTTCCTTTCACATCATTCATTGCCACTTCTTTGTTTTTTTTGATCCTCTACTTTTGTTAAATTGCATTCCCACATGCATGTAGTACTTTGAGGCATGAGTTTCTGTTTGCATCTGCTAAATGCTGCTACATTTTGTAAAATAAATAAGCTAAACCATAAAAGACTGTGTCTGCCAGGAAAGGTTTATATAGGCCAGACAGTGAAAGCACGGTTTTGTTTTGCAAACTGCAAAACTGAAACTCATTTTGCAGAATTATAGGTGACTCCTATAAGCAGTTTCAAACTAAAAAACAAAACAAAACAAACAAACAAACAAACAACAACAAACAAGCAAACAAATAAAAACAGCATTTACTTGGAATGGATCTCTGTTTAGTTGGACAAAAAGAAATCAGAAAATATTCTATATTACAAGAGAGCAAGGTCTTGGCATCCGGAGTAGATAAGATGTGTTTAGCTCTTGGGAAACTTACAGCTTGGTGTTCTCATGCAGACGTCAATTTCATTTCAATTTGCGATGTGATATTCTGTGTGTCACAATAACAAAACAATAAGGTATGATAATGTTTAGTCTGCAAAAAATATCAGAAAGCTTCTCAGTAGGGAAAAAGTAGCAGTTCAAAGCTAGAAAGAAATGAGAGAGGTAAAACTACAAATAATTTGAGGGAGGAGAAATTTGTCAGGAGAACTTTTTAATTGATTCAATTCATTCAGAAAAAAAAAATGTCAAACTACACAGGCCTTTTTCTTATTAAATTAATATAGAATGATAGAACTATAGAGTGGTTTCAGTTGGAAGAGCCCTTAATGACCATCCAGTTCCAACCCTCTGCGATGGGCAGGGGGACACCTCCCACTAGATCAGGTTGCATAAGAAGCATGTTTGTAATTTGTTTTAACACATTGCTTTTCTCTCTCTTGACTTTTGCTCTCTAGGTTTTGAAGCCAAGAGTTCATGATATGATCCAGCTGGCTTACAGAGATCAACAGCCACCTTATGAATAATGGTTGAAAACGGATCCCACCTGGACAATGAAACACTTGCAATGCTCCAGAACAGAGCTATTTCTGTCACCCTCCCAGTGGTGTATACACTGGTGGCTATCATCAGTATCCCTGGCAACTTGTTCTCCCTTTGGGTGCTCTGCTTACATATCAAACCCAAAACGCCTTCTGTTATCTTCATGATCAACCTGAGCATCACAGATCTCATGCTGGCCTTCTGCTTTCCCTTCCAAATATCTTATCACATCCAGAGCAATCACTGGATCTTTGGCAAGACTCTTTGCAGCCTTGTGACTGTGATGTTCTACTCCAACATGTATTCTTCCATACTGACCATGACCTGCATCAGCATTGAGCGGTACATGGGTGTGGTATATCCCATGAAGTTGGTCAAGTGGAGAAGAAAAAGATATGCCTTCGGTGCCTGTATGATAATGTGGCTTTTCTTGCTACTAGCTTTCTATCCACTGGAAAGCACAGATCTGACTTATGAAGTGAAAGAACTGGGGATTATAACCTGTTTTGACGTTCTCAAGTGGGATATGCTGCCCAACTTCGCAGCCTGGGTGGCCTTTCTCCTCACACTATTTGTTGTGCTCTTCCTGATCCCTTTCATTGTAACAGTTGGATGCTACATCGGCATCATTCGGAAGCTTATTCAGACATCAAACAGATACGGTAACAGGCAGAAGACTAGATCCATATACCTGGCGATTATAGTCCTTTCGGTGTTTGTCACTTGCTTCGCCCCCAATAACTTTATCCTACTTGCGCATATGATCGTCCGCCTGTTTTACAAGAGGAGTTTGTACCCTGCCTACAAGCTCACCTTGTGCCTCAGTTGCCTCAACAACTGCATAGATCCCTTCATTTACTACTTTGCCTCTAAAGAATTTTACCAGAAATTGATGCAAGTGTTTCGCCCTAAAGTACCGCTCAGTGACAGCTTGGAAACCAGAAGGGAAAGCTTATTTTCTGGCAGGACCATGTCAGCCAGGTCGATGTCAAGTGGACCTATGGATGGGTTAGAGGGAGTAACGGTCTATTTGCAAAGGCAGGAAAGTGTTTTCTAGCCTTAGACTAGAGCCACTAATGTGGCTTTTCTTTCCCCAGCAGAAAGGCAGCTGTGAGTTCCATGAGTAGAGGCAGAAAATATTTCTTTTTGAATGTCTGCCCTCAAAGTAACATGCTCTAGTGACAGAAGTCAAACCATATGAATATTGTGCATGCTACTTGAGTAAGTGACTATTTTCTGACAACAAGTGGAAGCACAAAAGGAACTGAGTTTATTCAAAAAGCCCCTGAGGCAAAACCAGTGTAGATAATTAAGGGTTGGCCTGGAATTAGTCCAAGGGATAAGTTTAGAACAAGAATTACTTTCAAGTTTTATAATCTCAGTGTTACCCAATGCTTGAAATCATCAGTGAATGTGAAATATTACTGTATATGAGTTATAGCATACATTGAAATGGGATTTTGGGAAGGGGAGTTATTTTTCTAAGCAATGTGCTGTTTTTTGTTTTTTGTTTTTTTTTTGGGGGGGGGTGGGTTGGTTGTTGATTTTTTTTTTAATATGTTGCTTTACTGTTCAGTTGCATTTCTATAAATGAGTAAACATAGCTTGCCATTTTACCATCAATGCATAATGCATAGCCACTGTGAATTCACCGCAACACTCACCCGTTTATCTGAAACAAACCACACTAACCTTTGTAAAGGTTAGATTGAGTGATATTATTTATTTCAGTTTTATAATGCAAAATATATCATGCTATGAAAGAAAATTTAGCATTTCTTTCTAGTTCTAAGCTAGTTTTACCTAGAACTAACAGTGTTTGAGACCACTTCAGCTGCTGTGTGGGTTATATTTTCATTTCCTGAAGGTATTAATTTATCAGGATAGTGGGCAGAAATTGGTTTAAGAAAGCAGGTTTCCCACATTGACCTACTACAGTAATAATGCTTCTGGTGTTAGATTGGTATCAGCAAGTCATTTTCACCAAATCACCATAGACTGTATGTGGAAGCACCACCCCCTCAGCAGACAACTTAGCTTTACATAGTGTGAGGATATATGTATCTTCCTTATGGTACTGGTGTGGATTATTAATCAGACGTTCTTCAGGATATATGAGAATTTGACCACAGTGATTCTGTGCCTGCAGAAGCTGTCTGAAAACCCGCCCTGATGGTCAGGTATCAGAAATGTACTTCTTTCAAACAGGCAAACAGAAAGCAGAAGAAAATGAAAGCAAGGCTTGATAGTGGGAGATGTACCAAGTATCCTGGAAAGAGGCTGTAAATATAATCAGGCTGATAGTGCAGTCCTGTGCTTGGGATTTCTCTTGGAAATATCCTTGTTTGCATATACTGTGTGATGTTTTTCTTCTCACATCTCAGCAACTGCCTGGGTACTTGGAAAGACAACTGCTACAGAATACATCCTGGGGACAGAGAAAGACAAAGTTTTTCCTATTGTATTTTCAGCTTTTTATCTACCTTTGGCTCTCAGTACAGTAAAGAACACCCAAACCCACCTGGCAAAGCCAGACAAGCTTCCCCTCACAAGCAAGATGAAGCTATTTGTTTCCTTTTGCTATGTTGCCTCTTCATCTAATGGTGAGCTGGAGGCTTTCTTTTTGTGGATAGTTGGTTCAGACACCACATTTCACCTCCCTTGAGCAGTGGCTGCCAGCTGTACTGATTTCTGAGCTCCTGCAGCTAGGTAAAAGACATCACCCATGGCTCCTGCTACCTATTTGCCTTTTTTTTTTCTTTTTTTTTTTTTTTTTTTTTTTCTTCTTTTATGACATGATTTAAACCCATTTTTCCACCACTATTTCACCATGAATTTCATCGCTGTAGAAGTTGGATACCCACAAAATCAATTGTGAGATATCTGTACAACCTACCCTCTGCTAAAGTATCATCAGTTATTGGTGCAGGTTAAAAGTGCGTGGGCCTAGTGCTACCTTTCAAAAGCCATCTGAGGTGTTTTGTGTGTTTCATAGCATTAGCTTTAAGTGATCTGCACATTTTCGGCCCATCAGGTCAGCTTTAGCCACAAGTAGCCCATCAAAACTTTCCCATCAAGCCTCATGGAGGCTATGCTGCATTACTGCCTGTGTGCCAGGTGCAAAGAAATGGGCTTGGAGCTACAAATCATCTCACAGATTCTGGAAGAGAGAAGCCTGTGCAAGTCAGGGGCTCCAAGCTCCCATGTCAGCTCTAGACCATCCTCAAATATCTGCTCGCACCAGGATCTGAGCTTCTGGCAGGAAATGTCAGCTGACAGCTTGGGTAGGAAGAGCATGAGTGTGGAGGTGAAGGTGAGATAAGAAATTACCGCTTCCTTGATAGACAAGATCCAGGACAGAGGAGGACGTAAAAAGAAAAAGGATAACTTTATGTGTTTAAAGCAAAAACCAACCAACCAACCAACCAACCAACCAAAACAAACAAACAAAAAAATACTGCTTGCTTGCTTGGGACTTCAGTGTCCAACTCCAGGGCATTCAGTGCCATTTTCTTTGAACATGCCCTACACAGTTGCCTGTTCTACCCCTCCAAAGAAAGAAATAATATTAATAAAAAGACATACAAAATATACCACAGTACATTACATAAAGCATTACATAAATTTCAGTAGTTTGGATATGTGCCTCTGTTTACTTACACTGTCTGAAAAAAATCACAGGCTGGCATTTTCCTGAGTTGTCCCATATCCATCAAGTGGAAATTCAGTTAGTTGATTAGTTTAACGGTTAGGTTTTTTTATTAACAGTTTTTTTGTTGTTGTTTTTGTTTTTAGTTTAACAGTTAGTTTTGCAAACCTGTGCATTAATTAAGCAGTGCATTGCTTTGCCTGGCTGTTCAAATCCCCATTCCATCTACTTTTACAGAACTCCTTCTAACTACCAAAACTGTTTGTAGCATTTTATGGTGTCAGAAACCGTTTTGGAGGTTATACTAAAATCCCCTTCTCTCACTCTCGTTTTTTTTTTGTTGTTGTTGTTTTTTGTTGTTGTTGTTGTTTTTTGTTTTGTTTTGTTTTGTTTTGTTTTTCCTTCTGCAAATATTCTTCTTTGTTACTTCCCTGAGCTTTAATGCAAATTTTCATTCTGTTTTATTTTGAACCTAATCTTCAAGCACTCTGTGCATCCTGAAATGTGCTGAAACATGCCTCAACTGAAACTGACATTAAACAGAGCTGAAAAAGCAGAGATTTTGCACTTTGGACATCAGCAACTATATTTTGAAAAATACTGAATTGCTCCTTTTGCAACAGAGAAAAGATGCTCACAACTGACTGAAAATTTTATCTCCAGCCTCACACAGCTCTCCATAGCACTTCATTCCTTTTTCAATGGTGCCTAAAAAGGAATAGAAGGGATGTCCTATTCTTTGCACCGTTTTATAAGCTAGTCTCAAATTAGCTCAGATGAGGCAAAATTCCAATTCGTGGATTGTCCCTTGAGAAAGGAATATAATCTTTGAGTGCTTCTTACAGATATGTTTTGAGTCTGATGGTGTATACTGTGAAGTTTTGGAAGGGTGTTTTAAGAGAGGAGGCGAATAAATTCTTTTTAAAAGTAGCCCAATTAACTGTTCTTCAACACTTGAAACATGTCCTCATGGGACACCATGAGGTCACAAGACTGCTACCCTCCTTGTTCAGTGGATGTGAGCTTAAATGCATTTATATATATATATATGTATATATAAACATACACATAAATGGAGGCTGCCGTTTGAGAGGTTATCAAAAAGTGATTGTCTACACTGCCTTGGGAATTTCCCAAACTTGGGAGTTTGGGAAATGTGGGTTCTGTATGACATGCTTACTTGATTGCCTCTGTGGTAGCAATTTTACTGAGAAGAAGACACGAATGTACAGGCTTCTGTTCTGTTTTTGTTGGTGGTGGTGGCGGCGGTGGTTGTTTTTTTATACATATATATTTTATTTGTGTAACAATTTAACCTATGAGTTTCCTTTGACTTTTGTACATAAAAATAAAGAAACCATAAAAAGGAAAGGATTTAAGATTTGTTTGCACCTGTCATGTGTGAGCTACTTCCCAACTTAAAACAGGACAGGGAGATCAAGTTATAAAATAAAATTAATCAGTTTTCCATTGCTATTTTGTCTCTCTCTAGATATATTCTAATTTCACTAGGGCAGCCCCGTCCCCAAGCCCCAAGCACTTCCATGGGGACAGGGACAGGCCAAGACGAGGTTGGGACATGGGCCTGCTGGGTGGACCCCGCTGAGCAAGGCCATGGCCAGGCCTGGCTGTGGGGAGCTGGGGCCCAGCCCTGCTGTGGCCTCACTGGGGCAGGGGCTGGTGGCCCCGGCGTGATGTGGGGCCTGGGCAGGTAGGGGAACCCCCAGGGCTGATGTGGGATCCTGGTCCCAGGGCAGAGTGGGTCAGGCCTCTAGAGATGATCAGGGCTAAAGGGACACTCAGGACATGAAACCCTGATAGAAACCTTCCCTAGACTGACTGTGCTCCATTTGGGGTTCAGGATCTGTGTGGGTGTGTCTATGCTGATAAATGAAAGAGGGCCAGAGATGGTCTTGAATTCATCTGGTAATTTTTTGTCTCTTTTCTCAGTTCAAAGTATTTGAAATAACATGAGGTCTACATCACTGCCCACCAAAGTAGGGCTTCTATAAGGTGATGTTTAAGGTATATGCTACATGCCCAAAGGTATGTATGACAGCATGAACACTTGAGGGTGAAATTCAGTGTTGGTAAGCATGAAATGATGAACACTGGTAAATTCAGTCACAGCTTTGCACACAAAATGATATGCTTGGTAGTGACCACTATACATCATAGTACGTAATTCAAAGCATTAGCTCAGTGACAGTGCAAAGAAAGCAAGTAAAACATTGCAAGTTGTTAGGAGTTAAAAATTTTTAGATGTAGTTAATATTGTAGATTTTTAAGGGCCCAGAATGAAAATTCTAATATATGAGGACTCTCACAAGAATGATCAGGATATAAGCTTTGGTTACTGTATTCTAGTAATTAAATCCATCATGAAAAAAAAATGAGGAATTCATTATTAGAATAAGTTGTGTACTGTTTTTCCTCAATTATGCCGCAGTTCATAGGATTAAAAGGAGTCAGTGAGAACAAAATTTCAGTCATGCTATTCATCTTGATATATTCTTCTGGACTGCAATCATTCTGGGTTAAATATTTGCATATGTGTTCTCTTGTCAAACCTAGAAAGTATAATTATGGAGAACATAATAAAGTAGAGGATAATGCTCTGCTGAAATTGTTTTTAAAAGCTTTCTTTCTTCATTTGAGAAAAAAAAACCTGTCTGAAGTCTGGGCTCCTATTTAACTCTCAGTCTTTCATGATTTGCTTGCAAGTCTTATGACTTTTATTCTTTAATCTTTAACTCTAAACAGCTGGAGGTATGTTATCAAATGAAGAGACTCTCAGGCTTCTTAAAGAAGTTCAGTGCTGTCAGCCAGAATACCGTTTGCGATTTTGGCATAAATAAATTCCTCAGCCACCTGCTTGACTATCTTGACTCACCATGGTGTCCTGCAGACAGTCTTTTTCTTTTTCAGGAAGCTTTTTCTTCTGTGGAAATTTTCAGGACTGTAACTATGATGGTTTAGTTTCCCCAGTTCCTGCATCAGTGTCCACATAACCTGGCTCTGGTATACCATTATGTGGTATACAATTATGTGGGTACAGAAAGTAAAGTGTGTATGTTGTCCTGCTGGGAGTTACCAGGGCTAAGCTTTTCCCAGTATCTTCATATCCTTAACTGCTGTTGCTGGAACATAGGTGAGCTACCAGAAAAAATAGGAAAGTGTTTTGTTGAGTACTTCAAATTGAATTTAACTCCAAGATTTGACTCCACCGCTGTTTATCTTAAAGGCTTTGTCAAAGGAGAAAGAGCAACAAACTTCAGGGAGGCATAAACAGGTTCAAGCTGGAGATAGGATGGGGCTGAAGAAGTAACCTCTGTGGAAGCTGGGGGAAGAAATACAGTAAGTGACAGTTTGGAAAAAGCTGCAGAAAGTTGGTGTCTGCAGGAAACCATCCACAGTTAGAGAATGTCTGTAAATAGTTTTCTTCAGAAACAGACAATTTCATTTTAGAAACATTGAGCCCTTTCAGTGAGAAAGCTGGAATCATCAGCAGCACCCCAGATTCTTGCTGTAAGGAAAGGAATGTGATTAACAGGTAAATAAACCAGTGTCTAGATACAGAGTAAACATCTCACAGAGAAATGCAGGTCTCTGGAAATGTGGGCTTGCTAGGCACGAAAGGTGAAACTCATCTGATCAAAACTATATATTAAGTGTTACTGTAGGTGTCTTAGTGCTTGGCAGCATTCAAGTCGACTGTCTGCTCTGATTCCTAAGTTTCTGTGATAGCTGCATTGGCTGTTGACTGCATTCAGACATGTAGATGTTAGTAGACTTCCACATTACCATTGAACTCCACCACAAAAGCAATGTTGGTATTCCAGGCCCGTTACCGTCTGCTTCTTGACAGTTTTCTTCTAATTCTGCCAACTTCATGCTTCTAATGGGAGCTTGTTCATCTGATAGAAAGCCATGTAGGCAGGCTAATGTGCTGGGAAATAATACTCCCAGAGACCTTAGCAAATACTTAAATAGAATGCAGTTCTCCCTCACCTTGTCAAACCTGGATGGATTCACAAAACACGGGCAAATATGTGAGTTAAGTTACTGGAAACCTCTTCCCACTGTTTACCTCTACAAAGACTCTATACAACCTTCTCAATTCGAAACTCTCTAGGGAGGTGCAATGGCCTTTTCTTCAAAAAGTTTCCGCAGTGCAACACCGATTTTCTCAGCTCCTACTTATTGCCCACAGGCTGACATTTTTCCTTTCCCTATTTCACGCTGCTTTCTATAGTATATGCATGCAGAATGCATCTGTTTCTTACCACCTAGTATTACTGTTCTCTAGTGAATAATGAAAATCACTGTACGCTTTTACCTAAAATGTCAACGTACCTGAACTTTTGTAACAAGGCAACTGTTTCTACGTACTGCTGCCAAAATCAAGCCTTTAAAGGAGTAAAAAATAAGATACAGTGGAGCAGACTTTTCTTTAATTGATAAATATGATTAGATAAAGAAGAGAAAAGACAAAAATAAACCCTTCAACTTAACAGTATTTAGTCTAGATTTTGTTAAAATACACTTTAATTTTTCATATTCAATAATGGTATTTGACTCCCAGAGTGGAATTACTCCTGTTCTTACAGTCATGCAAATCTGTTGAAGGGGCCTTAATCCCTGTTGCAAACATATCTTAGCACCTATTAATATCTTTATGATGCACCTTTATAGTTCCAATCTCGTTTATGCATTAACTTTCCAGATGTCACTGGAGCTATTGACATTAACTTCATGTCAGATTACCCCTATATGCAAACACACACACACAGAGGCATACACAGTTATATTAAGCAGTCCTTGTACTTCAGACAAGGACTTCCGAGTGTTTGTAGTGCTTGTTTTTTGTCCTTACCAGTTACAACTCTCTATAGCTATTTGAAAATTACAGTATGCTGGCAAAACCTTAGAAAAAAAAACACGGGATGTACTGCCCTCTTGTGGAGATTTGTGTAGTGAACATATTAAGAGCTCCACAAAACGTGCTCCACAAAACGTGCTTTTTTACCTTGGAGTCTCAGTTGGGAAATCATTTTCTGGAAGAGGTGGTATTCCAGCTGAGCCTATAAACCTCTTTTCTGCATCTTAGCTTCATTTTAACTACCTCTGCACCGCTATCGTTCCAGTAATCATCATACTGTACAAGGAGAAGAGAAACATCTTATTTGTTTTTCATACTTAGACAAATATATGTGTATATGTGTTTAATACAAACACACAAACAGATGCAGTGTGCACATGTTGTGTATATAATATATGCATTATGTAAACACAAATTTTCTGAAAATATTTTATCAACTCATTTACATGTTGCAGTGGTTTTATTTTGTTTGTTTGTTTTTCAGAATAAACTATCTAGAAAAAGTGTTCTTTATAGTCTGATGTGTTATTTATTTTTCTCTAGAGCTTATAAAAACATCAACAAGAATGAGACTGGGGAAACGCTGAGATTAGATGTGGAACTAGCAGAGCCATTAGATGTGGAACTACCACCAACAAGCCATGCCAATTTAAGAGGTACTGCAGGATTTGAAATAATCCTCTGCCCCACAAGCACACAAATAACTAGGGATGTTGTCAGCAAACACTGAACCCCCTGTCCCAGTGATTATGGGGTTATTAGGCACTACCCTGTCATCTCCTCTGAGGTTGTTTGATGGCCTTGGGCTATCAAACTTGAGCTGTCTCTCAAGGAGACAGAAAGCAAGCTGAAGATCAGAGAAGTTTCTCAGTGGCAGACGCTGGGCTGTGGCAACAGCTGTGAAAGACAGCACTGTAAGGATGCACAACTGTGATGCTGTTTCTGTATCGTGTAAACTGGGAACTGTTTGCAGTACACCATTTCTTCCCTGAAGGAGCACAGCTGGTGGAAACATGCTGGAGGGAAGCATTCCTTTCTTCAGCCCGGTGTTGCTGACATGGAGCTGGCTGGCAGCTAATCCTCGTGGACAACAAAGGGACAAAGCCTGTCATACTGTGCTCTTCTCCCTGGGATGCTGTTTTGTTCCCAGTGGGATTTCTTCAAGGCTCTAGGTTCTTCCCTAATGCAATACCTTCTCTGTGGTAAAGGCCAAACGCAACCAGTTAATCACTGCCATCCCTTTTCCAGTTCTTGTAAAGAGTTTCCTTGCACTATTTAAGTATGCTGGTCAAAGATGCTTCACCAAGGCTTGGGTGACAATTTCTTTGTTAAAAGGTATCTTGTGAGTGGCCAGCATGCCCCCGGGCTATGATTGATGTAGGTGCTTTTCCTTGTCTCATGAGGTGGGCACAGAGCTGCCTCAGAGATGGTTGCTGTTCCTTTGGCATGAGATACACTACATTCCTTCAGCAACTGGCATGTTTCTTCATAGGCAAGGCTTAATGCCATTTGATAACTATGTGGGATGAATGTCATGAAATGAACTATATGTAAAAACATTTACAGAGACATTACATAATATAAACCCTATGTATGTAACAAAATAATGTTTAATCTGACTTTCCGTGGTTTCCTGAAAAGCTCATTATATGCTTATAATACCACATTACTTAAGATAAAAATGGAATTATGTGATCATATAGGCACACCAAGATTTTGCTGAACTTCAAAGCTTGATAGAAGAGAACAAAGAAGTGTTTAGACATGAGCTGAAGAAAACTGAATTGATATAGGTTCTTAAAAATTCACTATGAGAACACAGAGCTAGCAAAGTGAAAGAAATCTAGACTTCCCACACCGAAAACACTCCCTTAGTCTGGAACAATGACTCTTTAAAATCTTAGGCTCTCCCAATAGAACTTCAGCAGTACTCTACAGGAAGCAAGGACAAAGTAATTTGACAGTCAGCATGTTTCACCTACCTTGCAAAAATCTGAATTTATTAAAAATCTAGAATAGCCCTTCAAAATCAAAAATCTAGTTGAACATGTAAACTAATCATAGTAGATACTGTATTATATGAAATGGGAAACTCACTACAATAGCATGGTTCAGATGAAATAGCTAGCTAAATACAGCTGTATGCAAAAATATTATAATAAAACGGAACGTGGGTAATGTTGAATGATTCGTTTGTTGTTTTTAAACAGAGGAGAATCCCTGGAGCTAATGATTAATTGGTGAAATAGAATACATCTTTAAATCTATACAGTAACAGAAACATGAGTTATTGCTTTGTGAACTGTGTAGTTATGTTGGACTACAGCAAGGATTTCAATGCCAAAAAGAGGCTTCTGAAAAATTAAGACTGCACTCTCAGAATTAACGAGGTTGTCCTAGAAATGCCAAGTTGCCTTGTGAACGATGAAATGTTCATTTCTTTCATCACAACATCCCGAGGATTCTCTATATTCTTTGCAATGGAAATGCATTGTCCTCCAAGCAATTTGATCTTGTGCTGGTACAGATCACTCAGCAAAACAATAGATCCAGGTTGAAATACATACACTTATTGCGATATACATAAAAGTTGGTATGAGAATTTGATTAGTACAGTGTTCTCTACATGCTTCAAGTTATTACTGTTATGTCCGTAGTATAAATACGTAGGTAGGCAGAAAAGCAGAGAAGCCCAGAACAAAAATATTAAGGAAAGGTCTCTACAGTTCAGAGCTCTAACTGTTACTTTGCTGTTGCTCAAAATACACCCAGTATTTGAAAAAGTCAACAGTTTCATAACCAACCTTGGACAAGCTAATCTTTGACTAGCATGGTCAGCCAAGACAGAAACTTTTCTGATAACTGCTGTTGTCATTGATCTTCACCTCGGTTAGCTCACTGCAGCCTCACACTTATTTTTTCCAACTCTTGCAAAGTTGCTGTAGACTAATTAAAAATAATTACTTGTCAAATCTCTCTGAACTGTGATAGATAACTTGATAATTTTTAGCTTGATCACAAAGGGTACTTTGAACTTTACCACATTTAAACCAGTATAAACCACATACACGTAAATGAAAGCATGCATTTTTACAGCTTTGTGCTTTTGCCTTTTAAATAAACTAATTCAACTCTTTGTCATGTTTGTCAGAGTAACAGATTTACTAATTACTGGTCTTTAAATTAACAATTAAAAAAGCCACATTCTCATCGTTTTCATATTAAGAATTTCCTTGTACCAATCTTCATTTTTTTGACATTATCTGAACTTTCAGGGGAAAGACTGTAAAAATTCTCCACCTCCCCATCATCCCCCCCCCCTTTTTAATTTAACTTTCAAAAAGTTCTTTGTGCAAATCAGAGGAGCAGTACGTAGGCAGAATTCAGTCAAGGGAGGTAAATCATACTCGTCTTACACTTGAGTTAATTGGGCTCCACAAGCAGGAGTAATGATATATGTTGCATACATCCTAATAACCTCTATAAATTACTAGAGACAGCAGATTTGTATTTCATTATTATCTATCAAAACAAGCTGGAAGGAACAGAAGGCATTCTTTCTGTCAAGGTTTGTGTAAATACATGCATTGGATGGAAGGCATACCATCATTACTTCACATTTATAGTGGTGAAAGTACACTAGAAGACTGAATATAATGAACAGAAATAGAATAAAATCAGGACTGTTACTGGATTGTTATGGAAAACTTTGCATTATCATCTTAATCTTCTGGAGTATCTGAATTAAGTTTATCAAACTTGCTTATATCCCACACATAGCAATTCAGTGTATAAAAAGATGACTTCAGATAAGAATTACGTCCCAAATCCTTGCAACATCCATACAAGTGCAATTTCCCTTTCTTTGGTTCATATTGCAGTTATAATGAAGAGGTACATAAATTAAGCTTTAGGCTTATGTTGAACTCAGGCATTAGAGATAGGGATATAATACTTTTCCCAGAGGACTAATTCCAAATCTTTGACCTGTATGTGCCAGGAGACATGCATTTCTGTGACTTGATGAGATTCTTGTCCTTTTATTCAATCAAAAATTATAATGGGATCATATGAAGGATACTCAGGATTCTATTTCTGTGGTATCTTCTTTTTTTTTTGCAAGGAGAAATGTCACTTTTCACTGGCCTGAGAAAAGAGCAAATAATTAGATCTGACAAGCTCTATGACAAGCAGAGACTGTTCCTCTCCCTGTTTCACACTTGCCCTTTCTTTTTAGTCACTTCTCCAGCTATCCCAGAATTATTTCAGAGTTACAGATTTGATGAGGATGTTAACATCTACTTAAGTCCCCTTGCATATTAAGGACAGCAACCCACATTCACAGTTGTATTTAATCTAAGCATTTTATTTCCTTTTTCATTTTAGCATAACTTCCCTAGGTTCTTAATATTTTATGACTATTTGAGCAAAAATGTCTCTGAAGACAAATTTCAGACCTGATCTCAAGTCACTGCTGCCCATAAATGAGTCTGGTCTCAAAAAGGGCCATGGGACAGAGGCACTTGGAAGGAGTCAAGGCATGCAAATTGGTGTGTGATGGCTATCAAACCTCAAGCTGTACTAGCCAGTGAGTAGGGTAAGTATCTTGAAAGCTAGGTGTGTGTCTCTGTGAGTGTGGCACAACTTGGGGAGGTGGCTGCTGGAGGACCCAGGAGCTCCAGGCTGACTGCCAGAGGGTCCATGGGGCCTGAAGATCAACTGGGAGACCCGTTTGTGTATGTGCCTGGGTGGGGAAAGATGTGTGAGGGTGCCTGTGTATCTGCACCTGCAACTGGAGTGGGGATGGGGCTTGGAGGCTCAGGTGTCAGCAGCTGGGGAGACCTGGGGATTTGGGGAGCAAGTTAATGCATAGACTGGGTGTCTAAGGTCAGATCCTGCAGGGGCTCACAGTGTATATAGCTAAATAGGTAGGTATGTGTGTATACATACACGTATTTCCCACTAACAGACCTTCATCCTGACCAGCCAGCAGGGAGAAGAGGATGAGGCCATTGGTGTTTGTGTGGGTGCTGAGCGTGGCTGCTGGTGCTGCTCTCCATGGCTGGCCATGTATGTACATATGTATGGAATGAGATGGACGTCAAGAGACTCTGTTACTGAATGCAAACTGCTATGACTAGATATATTTTTCTTTTTAATGCCAGGGTACATAGTTCGCTCTCTTTCTAGCCAGCCAGGTATGACTTACTGTTATACCATCTGCAAGTTTTTGGGAACGTATCTGAGCTTTTATATTAAGCCTTTTTTATTTTCTCCTTCACACGAAAGGCCAAAGAGGGGACATCCTATCCACTGAGATACCCATCAAATCATCCGGTGACGATAACATCTCATTTTTCTGCAAACCAAACCAAACCAAACCAAAACCGACAACACCTCTTTGCCGAACACTTTCCCTCGACAACTGCTGGCGGGGGGGGAGAGGCTCCTAGAGGCGGCCGATGCCTCTCCCTCCCCAGTGCCCCCTGCCTCCACACGGCCCCAACCCACCCCCTGCCAGCCCTCCCCGCCTGCCGCGGCTCCGCCCCGCCGCCATTATATGGCCGCCCCGCCGGGGAGGGGGGAGGAGGAGGAAGAGGAGGAGAAGGACAAGGACGTGCGGCGGTGTCTGCGGCCATGGCGCTGAACCCGGTGCTGGGGAAGCTGGTCAGCAAGAGGGTGGTGCTGGCCAGCGCCTCGCCGCGCCGCCAGGAGATCCTCACCAACGTGGTGAGTGCCGCGCCGGCCATAGCCGCACCGCCCTGCCCCTCCCGGCGGTGCCCCAGGGGCTGGGGGGGGTGTGTGTGTGTGTGGGGGGGGGACAGTTCACACGTGAATGCTTGAGAAAATAAACTTTATTTTCGTTGTTTTCGATCACGGTTTTCTTTCTTAGGGGTTCTCTGTAAGCAAGCGCCTGTGTGTCGGTGGGTTTACGTGCAGATTGGTGTACGTGTGGATTGAGATACACTGCTGGAAGGGAGGTGATGCAGCAAGGCTGGCTCTGACTCATAAATGCCTGCATGCCTACCTCTGGCATGTCACAGGGAAGTTTGGGAGGCCTTACTGTGGGCCGAAATAATTTGGAAATGGCCTACCGTCTCCCTTGCTTCATGGGGTTAGCGTTAGGTGCGTGCAGCGAGGGGAGTAGGGTCAGTGTCACTTCTTATTCTCACACACAGCGATGAAGAAGCTGGATCCCCTCTGTCAGAGCATTGCACCCCTGGGCACACACACCGACCTCACCAGTCTGGCTGCAAGAAGCTTCTGAATGGCACTTCAGTGTATGCCTAATAGATTGCACAGAGTCCTTCTTGTAGGAGAAATTAGAACTTAAATGTAGAGAAAATATATTTTTTTGCGAAATACAGAGGTGTAGAGAAGCAGAGAGGTTCAGACGTGCACGCAGCTATTAGAAGCACGGTGTCTCTGCTGGGTGCAGGAGGTGTACGTGTGTCATCTGCAGGCAGGAAGCAGGGAGAGTTGTTGTTATTTTGACAAAACCACAGATAACTGGCACTTGGTTTCTATTTATCACATGTATAATAACACATAACTGCAGGTGGTAAAGATCCTGTAAGCATGCGGTACTGTTGCACAAGCGCCATGGATGGATTCAATGAAAACGCCAGTGGTGGAATAGGGGAAAATAACATAAGCATACTAGTTCAGAAGTTATTTCTGGTGAGGCTTCTTATTCTGGACTACTTACAAATGATATGAAAACATAAAACCCTATAATAGAAGCAATTTATTTTTTTAACAACATGAGGCTGACTGTATTGCTTTCCTTTCTTTGTTACAGGGCCTGCGGTTTGAGGTAGTTCCATCCTGGTTTAAGGAGACACTTGAAAAGTCATCTTTTGCAGCCCCTTATGAATATGCTGTAGAAACTGCAAAGCAGAAGGCCCTGGAAGTAGCAAACAGAATGCACGTAGTAAGTTACCAGTTATTTCTGCAGCGAGATTTTTGTCTTGAAATGGTGTGTGTTACAGGGACTTAATTTGCACGTACTTCTGAGGTGGTTTGTGAGTGTTTTTTCACCCACTTAAAGGAAATGGATGTTTTCTGTCATTTGTGAGAGATGGCATCCCTGAAATGTACTTACCTACTCAAAAGAAGGTCCAATGCCTGCAGTTCAGGCTTTCTACAAGCAGACATAGCTTGCATTTTTTGTCAGAAGTGTACCTGCTTCAGCTTGGGATGCATAATTGGTATCTCCTTTCAGCAGTCAGGTTTGTGACTGCATCTTAGCCTGACAGTTGCTTATTACAGGTATTACTTGACTGAATCCAGTGCTTTGCTGTAGCTTTCATTGAAAAGTAGTTTGACTGAACAGTTGTGACAAGGTAATAGTTCAGAATTTGTGAGTATAAAGATGCTGGAGGTAAGCAGAAAAACAAGGCATTCAGCTGTAAAGCTTTCTGGAGAAAGAGATTGATGTTTGCTTTAAGAGTGAGAAGCTGTTAATTTCAGGTTCTGTAGTCAAGGCAGCAATTTTGAATCTTAAGTATTGCCAAAACCTGCAATCCAACTTTTATAAGTAGCGTATTTGATTTCTGCCCTTGTCTGTAAGCAGTGTGAGCAGATAAGGCTGTTCTTTACCAGAACCTTTCAGCAGTCTAGCTGATGAGATTCTACAAACTGTACTGTAATGTCTTAATACAAGCCCTGAGAGAGAGGAGTATATTTGTTGAACCTATACTGATGTCAGAAAGGGAATGTCAGACACTTTAAACCAACAATGTTGCCAGATGTCACCATTCTTCAAAGCAAATATTGCATGATCTTCAATGTAAATCGTTATCCAGGTTTCTGCCTACTCCTTTTTCAGAGAATGGTGTTCAGAGAATACATTAAAACTGCATTTTCAGTACAAACCTACAAACTAACTTACACTGGGCTTTCATTGCAAAATATGCTGGTGATAATGCTAATTCAGTGGATTTCAAAATGCTTCATTACAAAGGATTTTTTTTAAATGATGTGCTTTAAATAGAACTAATTCCAGCTATCAACAGCATATCTGCAGAAGTGTCTCCCTACAAACATGTTAATATAATGGTGAGAGTTACAGACAAGTTTCCTGTCAACTTGTGTTAAATCATAGCTGTGTACCTCATTAACATGGAAGTGAATCAAAATTCACCTGTAAGACAAGTTAGTTTAAAGCCAAGAAAGGGCTAGAAGGAATCTTTATATACCCCTACTTAGTTCCCCAAAATGGGCTGTATATGTTTCCTTTTGAGAGCAAAGCAAAGTGTAGCTAAAGGAGAAAAAAAAAAAAAAAGAGAATGAAAAAATGAGAATGAAAAGAATGGAAAAAAATGGGAATGCAGTTAGACCTTTCCTGGATGTATTTGTTCATCAGTAATGTATTTTGGCAAAGTTGTAACCTGCTGATAGTCTGCTCAGGCCTCCTTTTTTCTTCACTTTCATGGTGATATAAATAATTACTGTTTTGTAAAATATGCAAAAGAAGAAAGCGTCATGTTTTTAGGTCTGTGTAGTCCTACCTGTAAACTGGTCTACTTAAGCTTTCTCACCTCAGGTTTTTAAAGGGTTTTGTTCTTTCTTCCTGTTTCGAGAAATACATTCTTCTTTTATGCCTTTGCAGAAACACCTGAGGACACCTGATATTGTTATAGGAGCAGACACTATTGTGGTAAGAGGTCTTACATGCCTTATCATTGTTTTTATTTATGATAAGTGTAGAAAATCTTTAGGTTTAAAGTTAGAAAGTGATTTTTGCTGAAAAGTTATGCCTGAAGTACGATGTGTTTTGAGGGTTCTGTAGATGTGTTTATTATTTTTTTTCCTAAACGAAGCAATGTTTGGTATCTTGGGTGCTAGGAATATTAGCACTGTTTTTTCCAGAGACACTAGTATTGCTTAACTATTGCCTTTGATCCTCTGTAATACGGGTTCCTGTGCAATAGAAATTCTGTTCCCAGGTGACTTACTGTCAAGAAGTCCAGATCATGTGAACTGTTTAATGTTGCCCCTCATGGGGTGAGCAACTTTATGCTTATCATCTCTGCTGAAACAGTAAACAGTAAAAGTCAGGGGAAGTTGAATTACCTTTTGGAGAGCTTTTTTCGCTGGAGGGTAGTGGTGCTAGACAGTAAGTTAACTGTTCTACCAAAGTATCTGCACTTCTTGCTCTGCTCAGTAGACTTATTTTGAAGGCTTGTCTGAAGTCATGGCTTAAATCTTTTCTTTTCTGGCCTCAGTTTCAAGAAAAAGTGAGAAGACAGCTCGGTATCTCTGTCTTTCTGTTTTAGTCCGTGGATGAGCAGATCCTGGAAAAACCAGTTGATAAGCAAGATGCATATAGGATGTTGTCAAGGTTTGTACTTTCAAATAAGTTTCCAAATATGTTTATTAAGTTGTTTTTACAGCTTTATGGGTTCTTTGGTGCGTATCAAGAAGTCTGGCTAAAAATCTTTCAGACATTTTTAAATACCATGTCAGTTCTGTCTAAGAGTTAGATGTGGTTTTATCACAGCTAGTTGTTATTGTTGCTTCACCGCAGGGAGCTGATAAGAGATATAACCGTTCCATTTTCACTTGAATTAGTTTTCAGAATCACTTATCACAAGACTCTGTATGCTTCAGTTGGTACAGGAAGGGAAGATACGGAGAGATACCATCTTGGGAAAGAGGACAGAAGTGTTTTGAGTCTTGAAGTTCAATGAAAAAGAATTCTATGTATGAGAGAGTACATAGTGATGTCCAATCATTGATGACTGGACGTTTCCTTTGAAAGGAAACAAGGTAGCTCAATTTAAAACAATGTCCTTTAGTTTAAATGTTTTTCGATAAATAATTTGCTAATTACTTTCCAAGAAGAATGTGGATATTGATTTTGTTTTATATTCAGAGTTGATACTGTCAATAGAGAATTTATTAGAGAATGGTTGAGGTTGGAAGAGACCTCTGAAAGGTCATCTTACCCAACACCTCTGCTCAAGCAGGGTCACATAGTGAAACTAATTATAAGAATGCATTGAAAAGTAATCCCCATTTATGGTACATTTTGTAGTGTTCATCCAACCCAGATGCTGGCTTTTTGAATTTTTAGTTTAACTGAGGAAAAAATCCCTTCCATCACTGTTTTCAATGGATGGGCTGGCAGTTTTTAGGCTTCTGTTTTTGTTTTTTTTTTTTTCTTTTTTCCTGGGGGATACTTTGTCATTTAAGATGAATGGTATGTTGTACGATTTCTTTCTTCCTCCAAGAAACTGAAATAAATTAATCACCTTTCAGGAAAGACTGAGATGTGACGAATCCAGTCGTTCTTCTCTTGTATGGGGAAGAAAACACAAAATATCTTCCACTTGATTCAGGAGTTTACATGGTAACTCTAGAGTCTTCTAGGGAGAATATAAGGGGCTTGGTGTTTTTTTTTGGAGTTTAGCTCTCTAAGTCTATTTTAGATTATTATTTTTTTGCACTGATGAGATAAACTGATTCTTATTCTTTGTGGCGTGTTACTAACTTAGCAGCAGTAGCTTTTCTGCTCTTTCCAGTAAGTGACAGCAGCATATGTTATTAGTAGGAGATTCCCAAAGGAATCTGTCTGGCAAGAGATTTCTTAACACTGTGTTTTTGCTAAAAACATGCCAAGCTTGGTTAGTTCAAAAATAGTACTTTTTTTTTTTTTAAAGAGTGTAGTCTACTATTGCACACAAATGTCTGATTTTTTTGAAGGTACAGCAGTTCATTCTTTTAATCATGCATATGAAATGCACTTAAAATTAAACTCCTGTTAATTGTGTTCTATATAAACTGGAAAAAATAGGAAAGATAAAAATACATATCCAAGGTGTCAGACTAAAACTTTTCGCTCATCGTTTCATTTTAAAATTAATTATGTTAAATCCTGTGGTTTTTATTAAGAGTGAGATGCTCCTGGACACATCAAATTATAGCTTGGTCATGACACTATTCCTTAATTAATCTCTTCAAAAATTTAAGTTTTCCTAGCATGTATTGTACTTCTGTTGCTTTTACATAAAAACAAAAAACAAACAAAAAACCAAACAAGCAAAAAAAAAAAAACCTTAAAGCCCTCACAACTAATCAGCCACAGTGTGGCACTCTGGAGCCGACTATGAGAGAGATCATGCTGGCTCAAGATTTCCACGTCAGCTCAGCTGAGAGTTGGTCTGGGTGAGAGTGAGCATGAGCTGTCTTCCTGTACACTCTGGTTTTGTTTCTCTAGCTTGCTGTGGGATCCCTGGGTGTCTGGATGAAATCCATACAAAAGCTTGTTTAGTCCAAGCTGTGTCACCTTTGGGAACAGCATAACTGAATGTCTTCAACTTTTTTGTTTGGCTTGTTTTGTTAGTGTCTTTTCACTTATATTGAAATAAATAAAATAAATTTGTATAGGATACAAGTCAGAGCCATCAAGTGATATATTTACATGATGGTCTGTTGTACAGGCTGTGGTAACATAATTATGTAGAATATTTTTATATGTGATGGGGTTCATTAAACTGTTTCTTAATGTTGTTTTCCGTGACAGGCTGAGTGGGAAAGAGCACAGTGTTTTCACAGGAGTGGCTATTATACACTGCAGCAGTAAAGGTACATGGGTCATTTTATTAAAACTCAGTATTTTAATGAGCAATTATTTACATAAGGACTTGAACAGGTGAAGAAACAGAGTGTAAGTTCTTCATATACAGTCTGAATTGGCTTCCTGCTCAAGATGAAAATTAACATATTGATATGTAAATAAAAAACTCCTCACAGAAGCTATCCTTATTGCATTCAGTGTTCACACTGGAGGGTAGAAGACAAAATACAATAGACTATAAAAATACTATCTCTGAAAGCTTTGAGACTAACTAAAAGACCAGTGTGAACTTGTGTGGATACTCTATATGAAGTTCAAATACAGTACTACAAACTGTGGGACTGAACAGAATCTGATTCATACTGACTTTGATATACTTCCCTTTTCAGAAAATAAGGGAAACAAAAGTTTATTTTTAGGAGTTGAGTAAAATACTGGCGTAGTGCCTCAGTCTTTATTGAACTGTAAAGAGCAATACATCTATACTATTTATTGGATAATTTCTTCAGTAAACAAATGGTTTTTGAGCACCCTAATAGTAAAATTTGAGGAGTGTTTGGTTAAGGGATTTCCTCTGATAATTATGTCAAGACTTCATCAGTGAATATTTTACCAGGGTCAAGATCTTGTCCAAAACTTCATTTCTCTTTCTGTTGACAAATTCTTTGCAACTTTAATTTTTTATTAGAATGGTTGCTCGTAGCTCTTGTAACAGAAAGAAGGTCAGTGTTTCCAGTACCCTTATTAATGTTCCTACAGTAGAAGGAGTAGCTGCTGGAAAATAAATCAAATGTTGTCAAGTCGTATCTGTAAGGAATGTAGGAAGAATAGTAGTGCCTTTCATTGTTTACTCTAAGAAGAAAATAAAATTGCACACACTTGCAGTAGTGATGCTAATGACAGCTTGTCTCATCCGTAGCTTATAAATTTAAGCCATGGTATATTCAGATGAATAAAAATACCTTAAGTCGGCGTGCTCCTCAAGTGATTCAATGAAAGTTTTCTAGAGTACGCTTTTAATTTTAACTGTAATGCTGTTGCTAAGTGCCCCATAGATGTTAGATGAAATTTCCATCTTGAACTGGTAGTTCTACGTATTAATATGGAGCGACATGTATAGGAAGAGAGATTACTAACACTTCTTAAAATTTCTTATGTGTGATTAAGTATTTTTCAATTCTTATACCATCACCAATTGGATAGTATTCTTCTTGTGGTCTGTACTGCAGATTTTCCTCATTCTTCCCAAAAAATGTCCACTGCTACTGGAATACACACTAATGATTTGCACAGCAGTAGCAGGAGTTCCGACTTTTCTTTTATAGGAAAGAATGAATTAATAATAACCATTTTTGTAAGGCTGCTTTCTTTTGAACATATTTTGGAGCAGTCTTGCTCTGCAGTTTTACCAGACTCACAGTGTACCTCACAGCCCCACAATGTTGGGGCCCACATGCAGGTGTGCAATATTTTATAGCACCTTTGACATTTGTAACAATTTGTAACCACTTCCAGATATAGAGGGCTGAAATATTTCTCTTATTTTGTGAGAGATGATATGAAAATTGTACTGATGGCTGCAGATGGCACCTCTGAATGCCTGAGTCTGCAGTAAAGATGCAGCTGCACAGTCAGGCATCTGTAACAGCTGCAATTCTATCTATGATGTGTTATGAGTTGTTTGACAACAGTTAAAAAGTTAGAAGGGTGTTTGCAGACTTCTTTATTCTTGTTGCTGGATGTATATGCTAGCAGTGTATAAACAGTTCTGCAAAAGCATCAACTTGTGTGTTGTGCACAGGGAGAGCAGCCTGTTAGCTTGAAGATAGGACTACAAAGTTAGAAGATGTAAGCTTTTCAAGCTTTCAGCTTTTACTGAAAATGATGAGTATGTGGAGGGGGAGGTAAACAGAAGTTCACTGTCCCTAAAGAGCATTATTAACAATTTTATAGCTGTAATATTTTTTCTAGCAAAAATCTCAAATTAATGAGGTGAAATGAGACCACTGTTACTCTCTAAGCTACTATTTTCATGTTAGAAATTTCTGTTTCTAATGCAGCTTTTTCCTTTCTTTAGGTAATCAGCTAGAGACAGAGATCACTGATTTCTATGAAGAAACTAAAGTAAAATTTTCAGACCTTTCTGAAGAGCTGTTATGGGAGTACATTCATAGCGGGGAGCCTATGTAAGTAAGACCCTGAAGCTAGCTATCAAAATGTACTCAAGAGTAGGTCTGAGGGTATGTTGCTAGCCTCTGGCATAAAGCATTTTGCCTAGTGTTCTGTAGAGTTTTGCTGTTTCACATGATGTAGCATAGGCGATGCAGCGTGGATATTCTGACCTTGTCTAGAACTGTAATTCCTCCAGGTAAACTGAACTACCTTTATAGCACACTAATAAATTTGAAAAGTGAAGACTGAAATGTCCTGGGTTTTAGCAGGTACTCATACAATATTCAGGTACCTCTCTGTTAACTGAAGCATTCAGGAAGCTTGGATACCTGAGGTAATGGATAGTTCTCATTATAGAATAGGTAAATGGAACAACTGTTGAATAATCAAGATATTGAAGAACTTTACTGAAAGAAGCTAGAACTTGGCTTATTTAACCTATCAAAAAAAAAAAAAAAGGAAACAGAGGCATACAATTGATCTAGGTTCATACTGCATACTCATAGCAAGAAACACCAACTTAATTTTCACCCTATTCTTGTGGCCAGCTTACAATTATGGCATAAGAACACATGTCTTTTGGCTTATGGCTTTACTCTACCTTTGCAATGTAATGGCCACTTACAGACAGTGTTGATTCCACAGAAGGAATGGGAGTGAGAATAGAGTGCCTAACTGCTTTTAAGGTGAAGTTGACTGGACTGTTTAAAAGAAAAGAGGTTATTTAGAGACAACAAGGGAATGATCGTGATGTCACCGAACTTGCTTTTCCCTTTCATTAGCTGCAGCTTAGTGAAGGCAAATCAGGTCATGGTTAGCACTGTGGACTGTGTATCTTGTGATCTTAGGTGGACTTTTGGCTCCGAAGCTTCAACTCTGACTATGTAAGAATATCAATGGGAGTGTTTTTATGCACTCATTTGTGGCATAAATATAGTCATGTCCTGCTAAGGAAGGAGGAACCAGTGTAGACTTTGGATTTAAGTGCGTGTGTGTAAACGAGGCGTGCTCCTTGAACATGTAAGGTGCCCAGCTTATTAAAGAGGCTGGAATTAATTTGGATTATACAGAGAAAAATTGTTTTGGCAAGGACATGGTTCATAACAAATTCCTAGTTAGATTTTTGGAAGGCTATCCTTAGTATGCAGTTGATTTAAAGGGCAAATGACTGAATTTTTAGAAAGAACATAAGGACAAAGTATTCTGAACGTTCTCATTATTTCCTCTAGAAGCCGAGCTTTAGCAGTGCTGTGATGCATCAGAATGGCTCATGAACAGCACTGGGTAATTCAGTTTATTCTGCTAACAGTGTGTGATGGCATAAGCTTGAAGGACCAGTGGTTAAATATCTTTCATTTCTCTCCGGAGCAGGTTACATGGTTAAGTTCCTGTAGGGTTGATGTTTTTTCTTTTTTTTTTTTTCACTATAATGAGGACTTAATTTCATAAAGTAATATAAGGCTGATTGCATGAAAAATTAAAAATTTGGCTAACTTATGCTGTTGAGATTAGATTGAGTTGCCCTTTTAATATCAAGAACAGATGTGATGTGGTACTTTAAATTCAGTCACTGGTGACATGGGCTAATTCTAAATGTATATATCTGACCTAAACTACAAACAAGGGAGGAGGGAAAAGCACTATCTCAATCAAGGTGGATTGTGAGGCTATAAAAATACCCTTCATCATGTTGTCTGCAGAAAGATAACTTTTCAGTTTGTTTCGTACCTGATCCTTTTTCCAACCAAGAATTTATTTATTTCTTTGATTACTGGAAGGGCTTTTCTTACTCTTTGTTCTGTTGAAAGAGGGCTGGACTATAGCGATCCTAAATATTTTGTGCTTGTGTAACGAGTAGGCTTGGTTTCTGTCAGCCTTTCTGAGACAGCTGTTCATTTTGCAATCTTTCCCTTGTGGAAAAAGTTGTGAATGTCCTGGGCAGTTTTTGATAGCTCTGCTGCAATGGTGAAATGAAAGCAAAGGACTCCTGCACTTGGGTAAGAGATGTTCAGAGTCTGGAGCTCTACAGTTTCAGAATTAACTATAAAGTAATAATAATAAAAAAAAAAAAGAATATGTATGTCCAAGTTTCTTCCCTTGTGTGATTTCTCCAAGAGTTATTTCCCCTAAAGCTATAGAATATAGAAGCAAATGTATCTTTCAGGCTTTGCAAATAATTATGGTCTCCCGGTGCAAATTAGCAAGCACATAGCTAGATATTTTCAGCTCCTATGAGCTGAAAAAAAAATCTTACAGGTGTGGTGTTACAGAAGTAAGGGAATCTGTATTCTTATGCTAGAATTAACTTCAAATCTTGTTTTTCATCAATAACATAGCTACATTTGACTCCTTTCTCTATGAAAGAGCTGTTCAGTGTTCACCAGAGTCCATTACCAAATCTTTTTCCTGCACCTGCCCACCCCTGCTCCTTTGCCAAGTTCCTTGCCAATGGAAGCGCATCTTTGACTTGTTTGTTGTGAATGTGCCAACTTTGCCTCTCTCAGGAGACAGGAGAATGAATCCTGACTTTCTTTACCACTGGTGTCAGTAGTTCTTGTGTTTGCTCTACAAAGCTACTACATATTTAAAGGAACTTATATGATTTGTGGATATGTGAAGGTGGCAAATACTAGATATGCAACCAACTGTCTCACAGGTAATAAAAATGCAAGAAATTAGTGTACTGCTTCTGACCTATTTTAAATGTTTCTTTCACTGAGGATGAACTTGTTCTTTTGTGTCTATTATTGTTCAGTCACTAGCTCAGACTGTCCCATGTGGCTGAAATTTGCCTGTACTTCTAATAATGTGAATATACAGGCCAAGACACATGGAACTGTCATACATGCATTCTTGCCTTTGGAAATCAACCCATAACCCAACCAAACATCTCTCTTCATCTGTAGCACTAGTCGTACTTGTCAGTGCAGCAGTGGTTTATTTGATCCCTTGCTCTATTTGGACAACTCAGATGTAGTATATGTGGACATATTATTTTGTGGCATAAGTAAAGTTGAAATTTTACAGGTAACAAAGGAAATGTGTTTTAATGTTGCACTTTTGTTACCTCTGATTCACTTTTCATAACTTTTCTCCTCCACTGTTTTGTGTGTTGCGTGGTATTTTTTTATTGCTTGTTTTTTTTTTAATTGCTGGTTGTTACGCACATTCCTTTTGAAGTCATGGTTTTCCCTAGAAAGGTCAGTTGCTGAAAAATGTTTTGGCTACAGCCAAGATCTTACAGCTTGTCAAGAGGGCTTTAAAGTGAGTTATTTTTTAATACAAATTAACTGATGCTATACACATTATTTTAAATGAAGCCTCTTTTACTAGCATAGCACTAATTTTATCATGTCACAGAAGCCAGTCAGATTAGCCAGAGCTAGTTATAAGAGCTGTGTATATACTGATGTATTTTTTCAGAATTTTTGGCATGGAAGACACTACATAAGAGATCAATGGAGCTGTTACTAACTGCATAGCCTTACATCTTTGGATTAGGAGCTGTAGTAGAGAATCACCTGGATGCAATGCAAGAATGTTAAGATCTTAAAAATAAATGAGGTGACAAATGGTGTTAATATCCTTTCTAGAAGCATGATACCATTGCTTTTGATTCTTGTTTGTTTTTTTTTGTTTTTTTTTGCCTACTTATCAGCATACACCCAAATGACCTCGTCCTACTGGAATACTGCTTCATTTTAAAAATAAAAGCAATATATTTAGCGATGAGAGTATTCCTAGCTTAGATGGTGTAAGTCTTCAGTATGTTATAAAACAAAGAATACTTTGAACAAGAGAAAAGCTATACACAGGTGCTTAAAATGCAAGATTAAAGGAAAATCCTATTTCCTTGTTTATAGTAATTCAAAATCCCATTTGCTGGGATACTGACTCCTTTGCTTCTATTTAGGAGACTACCTGAAAGGCTCTCCAGAAATAAGTTCTAAGTTTAGAGAACTTGTTCTCATGAAATCTAGGATGAAAAGTAAATTATCTTGTGTAGTAGCCTTCTTTCAAAAGCAGTTTGTAATTGCCTACTATCCAGAGTTAATAGATCTGAGACTGACTGACCTTTGGTTTCAAAGGTTGCTTACTTAGGCTTTCAGACTCTGGTGTTATCATGTAGTAAATGCACTTCTACCTTGTTCCTTAGATGTGAACAGTAAAAATGTTGGGTCTATTACAGCTTATCTAGTTGTATATATTTCCATTCTGCACAGTGGAATTTGCATAATTACACCTGAAGACATTAGATTCCCAAGGTTACTTTCTGTGGAATGCATACCTGTGCCAAATTACTAGTATTATCATGATGTTTAAGAGCACCTTGTGTACAACTCTGCATTTCAGAACTGCACAAAAATTAGAGCCGAGTGGAACAGCAGTGGATTTTATATCTGATTAGGACTTTCTTGAGGAAGAGCAATCTATCTGAGAGCTACAAGACAAATACTACAGTTGTTTGGTTTCCAGGATGTCCTCTTCAGTGTGAGCTCCTTTTTGGAGCCAACACATACCTAAAGGCCCTTCAGCCTCTTGGGGAGTAGGGTTAGGGTTGGTACGCAGCTGGGTGACTGGGTGGCAGTGTTGGTCTCAGTAACACTTGCTGTTACCTTCCTTCATAGCCAGGACATGGAGAACGCTGGGTGAGAGATGGCAGCACAGTTTGACTGTAGTCAGAGGACATAACTCCAGCTTCTGTGGCTATGGCACTTGGACTGTCTGAAGCTTGAGGACCTTAGGCCACCTACCCTTATGGGGAAAAAAAAAATAAATAAATCACAACGTAAATATAAGGACTGATAACTTTCAGTGTTGAGCTTAGCTGGTAGCTTTAATCCACCTCTAACTTGAGAATACTCTTCTATATTCCAGACTCTGCAGTATTAGTGATTGTGTTCAGTGCTACCTTTGCTATTAACCTTGCTCTTAATCTTAACTTCATAGGTCTCAGTTGTTGTTTTCTCTCCCCCAGGGACAAGGCTGGTGGATATGGAATCCAGGCCCTTGGTGGGATGTTAGTTGAATATGTCCATGGAGACTTTTTGAATGTGGTGGGATTTCCTCTGAATCACTTCTGCAAAAAGCTAGCAGAATTGTACTACCCACCCCCCAAACACACTGTACAGCATATAAAGCATGACTCTATCCCTTCTGTGGACACTTTTGAGAATTTGAGTGATGGAGAAAGTGAGTCATCAAATTTCACAGAGCATAAAGGTGCTAAAAAGTTGGACAGCAGTAGTATGTGTCCCTCAAGACCTGTTTACAACTGTGAGAACAGCTCTAGTGTCAGAACTGACTCTATGGTACCTTTGGGAAATCAGAACGGAGCATCAGAAAGTGCAGCAAAACTTCCATCTAAAATTGTAGACCTGATGGATGGTTTTAAAGCCTCAAAGGTAAGGAAAAAATAAAACTACTTTGCTAAAGGATACAGTTGTTTTGTTGGACTTTAATGTATAGCAGGTAATGTGAAATACCTGAGTTGGGATAAGAATATTAGTTTAAAAGGACCTTTGAAGTACTAGAGGATCTAAGCTGAAAATTCTGGTACAACGTAAATACTGATTTCTGGTATTGACTCTTATCTGTTCCATGAAACTTCAACTACCCATGTGATAAAAATCTTTCTCTTGATTTGAAATGAAAAAAATCTGCGTGTTTTTTTTTTACTTTTGTTCGTGTACAATTGGCCTTGGGTATGAACAGTGAAACTGCTTCCAGAGTGTCTGACAACAGTATCCCCTTGCCTCCTATATGTGTCTTTTATCATGCTAATTAAATGCAACTTATGAAAATCATAACTCATCTTTCATTAGCTACAACAGTGATTGAGGCTCTGGTGCATGTTGTAATTGCCTCCCAATTACAAAAATAACAGTTACTTCAGAAATGTATTTATGCAGATTGTACTCCAATACTGAAGTGGAATGATATAGGGAAACTTCAAAATGCTTTAAGTAAGAATTTACCACTGAATATTTTGATGTTTTCATTATTTTTTTGTACTGATCATAAGACCAGAATCAAGTAGTAAGTTACCTTTAGATATACTACAAAGAAGACATTTTATGGGGTTAACTTACCAAATTCATTTAAAACACATACAATGCTTGTTATGGCTTTTCCCTTTTTAACTTTTAATGGCTAGTATTAGAGTTCTTTGAAAGATAGCATTTTTTTATTCCTATTAAGGAAGTAATTTTTTTATACCCTGTTTCATGTTGCAGGTAAAATCTCCATGTGGTATCTGATAAAGACATAGGCTACAAATTGAAGGTCAGGTGCTCTGTGTAGCAGCCAAGTGTGAAGGGAAATGAGTAGCTGGACATTAAGTGCTACCAAGTCTTCTACTCAGAGCTCCAGTATAGTGAAGGAGAAATGAGCAGCAGTCATGCTAAATAGATCACCGATTCCAATCAAGCTGTTCATGTTTCAAGAAGAGGTGGAAAAAAACTGCTTAAGTGGCAGTGAAATGACAAACCTGAACCTAAAGATACATTAAAAAATAAACTCTTTAGGGGGCTGGCCCGTGGAAGGAAACACCTAGAACAGTCAACAGTGGTTCTGTTGAAAGAGCAGGAAGCCATGCTCAGATCTTAAGGAAAACTACAGTGCAGTCATTACAGATCTGCGGGCATGCTGCTTGCAGTCATGCGAAGGGAGCATGTTTTGATGTACTTGAATGTGTGAGATGATGCTTAGTATTTTTTTCAAGTTAAGTGCAAAATAAGAATTGTAACCACTTTGCTGTTGCGTATTATGTACGCTAGTCACTGTGATCTGATGCAGTTTTGTGCAGTAAAACTTGATGGCAATGGTAAACAGAAGCAGGAGCTCTCCTTTCCCACTAATCCAGTGTAAAATCATAGTACACAGTGCCAAATTTCATCTTGAGCTAGTGGGACTTTATTTTCCTGTGGCTTGGATCTTTGTAAAATGAACTACCAGTTGTGGTGGACTATTTCTGTAACTTCACAAATCTTACCTTCTCTCTTTCCCCTTGTAGAATAGCGATAAGAGCACAAAAGCATTCAGCTTCATAAAAGCTCAAGATCTATTTCATTTTGATCCTTGAGTGTTGTTTTAAGGCTTTTGTAAATCAGACTGAAATCTCCTACAGGGGAGAAGATGTTGCCACTTATTTTACTCTGAACACCTGCTGCTGCAGAGCAGGAGGGGATCAGGTTTAAAGCATGTTCTCAAACTTAACACATTCTGAATTTGCATAGTTTGATCTTTACTCAGACCTTTTAAGGATGTTTTTTTTGAACTGAGCATTTCAGAATGGTAGAAGAATGATTCGTATCAGCTGGGTTTTTGACTGCATTCTCATTCCTCTTGTAATTTCCAGGTCATATTAGTCCAAAGATTAAACAGATCTTGGAAGGCAAATGCCTGTAGCATAGATGCAATTGACTCAGTATAGTGAAATTCTAGTAAATCCCAATTCTACATCTTAATTAGAACAACAGAGAAAAACATGAAGAGGGAGATGATAAAAGTATATAATTACACAGTAGCACACCTTGTCAAAGTTAATCTGTTTCTCCACTTGTTTTTATTAAATAGAATGTTAAGCCATTTTTCTTGACTGCCTTGAACTTTTTAGTTCGTAGTTGCTGGCAGTTGCAAAGAAATAGATTCAGAGATTGCTGCCTGTGCTTCCATTCTTGTGCTCCTTGGTTTTAGGTGCAGAATTGCACATAAATTTCAAAGGGAGAGGTGTACACAGTCACATATCATTAACATTTCTCTCTGGTCTGGTTAGCATATCCGTAAAAGTTTGGTTAAACTTTTCAGCCTAAACAGCTTAATTGCCCATGGGTTTTTCCTCTACTATCATGCATTAATTGTTCTGTCTTCCCCAGTTTCATATATACATCTTAAGGTGAGCATGTGGTATGGTTGTGCTTTGGAGTTTTATTCCTTTTTCTACTTAATTTTTATTAATCAAAGAACAATCTTGTAACTGAAGCAGCTACTGTGCCTTAATGAAACTTTCCAGTTCCTTATTGGCATCAGTTCAGATAGTTAAGCACGTCTGATTTATGGAACGTGTTCCATACCAATGGTTATGATAAATATCTGAATAAAGAGGTAGTATGTATAAAAACTCAGTAGGCTGCATTCCAGAATAGTTCCTTTCTCTCAGACATGTATCTGTCCTAAATACTGTTACTTGGCTAAGACATTGAAAGTCCTCTGAGAGGGAAGGAAATGTGTCATAACAGTTTTTAGGAATTTTGTTACCCTATGTCCTATTTAAATAATGGTAATAATGTAGAATAGTACTTCTAGAACATCTGTGGCAAAACATGTAGTTGCTTTGTTTCTTGATTGCAGTCTTTTTAAATGCAGCATGACAACATTTTTTCCTACATATAGGCGCTGTTTGTAGCCTCTAAGCTGAAGGTGTTTGATTATTTGAAAACTAAAGGTCCTCTGAAAGCTGTGGATGTTGCAAACGAGGTTGGAACCTCAGTGTGTGGAACAGAAAGACTCCTTGATGCCTGTGTGGCTCTTGGATTGCTGGAGAAGACATCACAAGGTGACTTTTCCCATTCACCCACCTTTCTCTTTAAATAAAAAAGGGTGAATAAAGAGACTGGGGAGAAGGGAAGGAGGATTAAAATGGTCAAACAATGCTGCTTACCTTTAGTCAGGAGAGAAGGGTACCTTCTCTTACCTCTATTCCTGTCTACTCACTCTCAACTGCATATAGCACTGGAAGAGATTTTTCAAAGGTTACAAGAACTGACCTGATGGTGTAGATACCTTGAATATGAGGTGGGGGGGATTGTTGTTTCTTTCTGTTCATCATTAGCAGCTAGAATTGCTTTATCTGGGAGCAGGCATTATTTAATGAAATCACCAGATGTCCTCTGAGGACTATATTCAGAGAGCAGAAACAATTACCTCTGAATTCTAATAAATTTAATGGGCAGTCCCAGGGAGCAGTGTAAGAGCTCAAATATATCACCCAAAATAAGGACCATGTAAACTCACTTCCCTACTGCAGTTATGCAGAGTCACAAACTTGAGCAGAGAATCAGGAATTTTATGAGAGCTCTGAAATGTGTCCTTCATGGACAGCTTCTTAATTTTTAGTGCCCCTGACCAGTACACTGCTTGAAGTGTATGTATGTGATATTCAGTAATAGGATTAACTTTTTCAGCCTGCACTCTGTATTTATAAGTTTCCATATAAATCATCTACATGGTAAGGTCAAGGGCTGAGAAAAGGGAATAAAAGCTTTCAGTGCTGTTAGAGGACAAGACCAAACACTGAGAAGAAAGCCCTTAAGGGCAGAACAAAAATGCAGTCAGGAATGACGAACTTCTGGTGGTCTTCCCCTGAATATCAGGTATATAATTGAAATACTAATAAATACATAATTATATATATATGTATGTATATACACTATATGTACGTGCTTACCTACATTCTTTTTAACAAGGAAGTCCCTAGTTCATTCTTTAAGAATGAGGATACCTTTAGAACTGCTCCATAGAGATCTTTGTACAAAAAACAAAACCCCTGTGATGCCAAGATGAGGATTTCCTGCACCTCTTAACAGTTGTACAGGGTAAAATGGCTTCAGATACTAGCAGACTGTTGTAAAGTGCTGAAACAAAACTGGTTACAATTGTTTTCCTCCATTAAGGCTACAGTAATACAGATTCAGCAAATACTTACCTGACATCAGATGGTGAATACTCACTTCATGGCTACATTATCCACTCTAACGATCATCTCTGGCCTCTCTTTACAAACCTGGAGTCTGCTGTTAGAGAGGGAAGCAGACAGAACCATCGAGCCTTTGGAAGGAAAGCAGAGGATTTATTTAAGGTAATGTAAACTCTCACTGTGTCAAAACTAGCTGTGAAGAACCCAGAAGAACTGATCTGGAGGGAAATGGAGATTGAGTTGTTTAAGGAAGTCGGTGAATCTCAGAAATGCTAGAAATATGGTGGAACTCACTAATGAGACTTATGTTCCCTGCAGCTTTAACAGTGCAGGCTTTAGGTGCTAAAGTGCTGGAGCAATCAAAGAATGTACTAGGAAATCTTGAGTGCTGAGAAAAATTCTGACTGAAGTTTTGCCCATCTAGCTAATATATTCAGAGCAATCCTGGAGCCTGTCTTACTGACTGCTATGTGGCCTTTCAATAATAGCGGGTAGTACCTTACACGTGCACTCCTTCCATACTGAGTGCTGATTGCTTGTTACTGATGGTCATCCAGTGCAATCTGTGCTGGCTGCATATTCAAAGCTGTTTTCAAACTATTTGTGTTAATGTACTAGAGGAGAGATCCAGTCTATTTTATTTAGGTTTGTAATTTTGTAAATACTTTTGGTATATATTGCCACTAAAAATGGTAATCCTTCTCTTTGTCTGTTTCCATATCTAACATTCTAGCATTTCTGGTACTGAGTACTTTCTTAAGTAATTTAAAAATAAATAAATAAATGTAACTAGCTTTAACCTTTTTGTCTAAAGTTATGGCTTGCTCATCTAATCGTTTTCCCATTATGGGAGAATAAAAGAATTAAATGAATATCAGGAAGATATCTTCCTGATATCATGAAGAACAAACATTTTTAGACTGCTGCAGGAAAAAAAAAATCATTTTTTTTTTTGCAAAAGTTTCAATGTCTGGAGACATTTTGCTGTGGAGAAAAGCTGTTAGTGAATGTATATCAAAGACATACTGTTGCTTTAAAAACAGTTCAGGTTATCTCTTCTTGCTATGCTACCTCAGCTTCAGTGGACAAAAGTGTTGAATTTAAGAGCACGAGACATCACTGAGACTGCGTCCAAACTAGCTAAGTGTGTGTCCTCTGAGACATCCTACAAAAGATGTCTGTGTGACAGTTCTGGAGAGGATGCAGAAATCTGCTTGTTGCTACAGTGAAGCAGCTTTTCACTACTAAAGGACGTGGATGGGCAACTAGTCAATGGTGCTTTCACATGAGATTTCTGAAATTAAATATCAGCTAATCATGAATAAGGACACCTGCTGCCTTGGTTGAACATAATCTCAGCATTCCTAAGTAATGAAAATAAATGCCAATGACTGTGTTTTTGTTTTTTTCCCTCTTAGGACTATTATCACAGCCAGGAGGTGAAGCAGCGTTTTATGGCTGCCATGCACAGCATTGCCCACCTGACAGCACGAGATGTGGCTACAGCATTTGATCTTTCACAGTTTAAGTCTACTTGTGATTTAGGAGGTATGGTCTGTAATTGAGCTTGCATGCAAATTACAGGGAAGAGCTTGATTTCAGTTCCATATTTTGTTACTTAAAACACGTACGTTTCTCCACTTGAATGCAGTAAAATGGTCTAATACTGTTATTTTTCTGGTGCTGTAAAGTCAGAATTAAAGTGCAATGAACTGAAAGCAAAGCTCTGTAAAAGATACTTGAGTAACATGAAACAAGTGAACATTTGTCATGATTAGTTACATGCTGACACATAGCTTGACAAAGAAAATAAGGAGGTTTGTGGCTTAGCTGATTTTGATTTTGAAAACTCCCTTTCAGTGTTTGTGTGTCAGGCTTGAAACACAGTACTGCTAGTACAAAAATTTGGATTCTTTTAGAATGAATTGAGTTGTTCTGCAGTTCTAATGTTTTTATTTTTTTCTCCAATTAATATCTAAGATGACCACTGAAGTGTTGAATACTGATAATAGACCTGAAGAAACAATCCTTGTTAGTGTCCTTTTACACTGGTCTTGGAGTGGCAAAAAGGGGATGTTACTATATAGGGAAAAGATCCAATGTAAGAAAAAAAGCTTAGTGCCTGGGGAGATGGACATCATGTCAGAGGAATTAACAGAATACTGGTACAACCTTTGCCACTTGTGCAGAGACTTCAAGATGTTACCACCCCTATCTTTTCGTATGCTGGAGAGTATTTGTCAAACTTCAGATACGAGTGCTTTGTATCTGGTAAATAGTTCTAGTGTACTTCATCCACAAATTACAAGTCCATTAGTCGTGGTGTTTAAAAAAATAAAAAGGCACAAACATGTAGTGGTATCAAAGGTCATATTGTCAAGCCTGTGACAGAGTAAGAAATAATACATTACCCAAGCTTTAAGGCATTGTTCACTGGGAGGTGTTATTGACAGTGTTAATTTTAGAGCTTACTAGCTACCTCTAATTCTGAGTTAATGTATTTCTTAATGTTACATAGAGCCTTATCCTTAAAAATGTATGCAAATTTTGGGAGAAAAGATTTGATTTTGACTTTTTAAAACTTTCAACAGGTTGTACTGGAGCTTTGGCTCATGAATTAATACAAATATACCCAAATATGAAGGTTACAGTGTTTGACCTTCCAGAAGTCATTGCAAACATCTCTTACTTTCAGCCTTCAGAACAATGCGCAGCTCCAGTGACATTTTTATCAGGTAAATGTAATGTGATGTTTCCTTGTTTCTGTTATCCTGAAGCATAGAGCAGGCTCTTTTTCTGTGGAGAATGGTATGCTGCCCTGCTCCAATCCCAAACCTGTTTTAGTACAAGGCAGGGCGGGCTCACACATGCTAAATAGGGCCATTGTACTTCTGACTGGAGTCAGCAAACTGACTGTGGCCGGAGAGTGGGGCTAAATAAGGAAGTATGAATTTAAATAAACTTGTTACTTCTGGGAGTAGAGTCTTGCTGTATGTCCTTATATCAGGCTTTTCATTTCTAGGCAGGATCAACATGGTGGTTACAAAAGACTTCAGTTTTTTTCCCTCCTTGCTTTCAGCTTTCTCTCCATCGTAACATGTTACAGAATTCTAACCTGTGATCTGCTTTACTCTTAAACTATCCTTAACTACAAATCAGCGTATTGCTACCCATGTTTGTTCATCTTTCTTACCTTACCCGCACTGAAACTCCTAGTTCCATCTTGATGTTTCCATTTCCTTCTGCAGGAATGCACTAACTCTCCTTTTCAACAGGTGACTTCTTCAAAGATAATCTTCCAGAAGCAGATCTTTATATCCTTTCACGCATTCTTCATGACTGGCCAGATGAAAGGATTCATGTACTGCTAAGTAAAATATCAGCTGTTTGCAAACCAGGTAAGTTTTTAATCTCATTCATTTACAGGTCCATATTAATACAGTCATAACAAGTTCATATTAAAAAATGCATATTTTTGTCTAATCATAGCAGCCTATGCTTGAATTAATACTTTGCATTAAGTTTGCATATTTGCCTTCTTTAATAAAAAAAAAAAAGTAAACAAAGCTTCTAATAAAACTACATAAAAGAAGCCCTTACTGTAGTTGCAGATTTTGCATGCGACTGCTTCATATTATCTCTCTGCCATACCCAGCCTTTCTTGCAAAGAACTGTATCACCAACTACTGAAGTACTTGTCTCTATCCAAACTACAAGCAGGCTGACTAAAGTGGCTTCAAGTTAATTGAGGAGGGGCAGTTTATTCTGTTAGTCAGTAGTGCTAACAGTAGTGGAGTTCAGTAATACTTGAGGTACAGATTTCTTGAGAACTATATAGGTTGAGAAATACAAAGCACAAGTATCTTGTGCTTTCTCCTACATCAACAATACAAAAGATCAAAAGGGAAGACAAAGAAGCAAGAGAAAAACCTGAGTGCTGTATTCAACTAATTCCTTAATCTAAGGGGATTAACTGTAGCTATGAAGTTTGTTTCACAAAAGAGCATTCCAAATAAGATCTAGGTTGGTAAGCATAATTCTGTTTATAAACTTTAAAAAAACTGTGGATGACTGTCTTATTTTCTTATACAAAGACTGGGGGATGACAGATGCTTAAAGGAGTTGCTTGGTTCAAATGGTAATGAGACTGAGTAAAAAAAAAAACAAAACACAGTCAGGAAGTGGTCTGAACTTCAGTGAAGTGGAGGCAGTTCTCAAACCTCCCCCTTCCTCCTAACTAATGTTTTTGTCCAGGAAGAGATTAGTGAGAATAAATTCATGATTGACACTGAGGTCTGTGAAAACACTGGTCTGAGGGGGACTTATCTACAACGGTCTCTGAACAAAACACTAAAAATGTGAAGCTAGAAATAATTTACTGAAGCACTTCTGGTTGTTTTGGAAATGCAGGAAGTGCCTTGCTAGTGGCAGAAATTGTGCTTGACAAGCAGAAGACGCACCCTGCTAGAGCTGTGCTACAGTCCCTCAGTATGACTGAAGGCAAGCAGAGAAGTGGCTCGGAATATAAACAGCTACTGGAGAAATATGGATTCACAGATGTACAAATTAAGATCACAGGAACCTTACTAGATGCTGTTCTATGCTTCAAGAAGAATCTGTCACCTTAGTGTGAACAGAAGTAACATGGGATGATGAGTTCTTATAACACTTATGCTGGTTGACGATGTCAGTTTAAGATTGTTTTGACCCTGTATGTGAAACATAATTATTACAGGCTTTGAATAAAAAGTTGGACTGTTGCTTGTGCAGGAATGAGTTCTATGCTTTAAAAAGTATTTGGGGCAGATTGAAAGCTGTGTATGAAAAAACTTTTGTACACTTTGGCTAGTCCGCAGACTATGTTCAACTTGGAGTTGATGTAGCTGTATAGCAGCAAGTTAAAAATGACAAGCTTTCATGAGCCTCATTAATATCTGCTTTCTTGGGCCTTAAAGCTACAGAATTCTCCCTCTGCAATATATTCAGTGGTCACTACTCATTTTTATCAGAAATGTAAAAATAATAATGATACTCTATCAAAATCAGGATGGTAGTCCTCTTTTTCACTTTTGTGGGGCTTTACTGAAAAGCAACTGAAGGATAACATTTTTAGGCTTTTTTTTTTTTTTTTTTTTTGCCTTGGGCAAAAGGGAAAATAGAACAAAGCTCCAACATGTTCCTACAAGAGCAGTAGTGTCACGAGCTTCAGCAGCCTCTAACCTCCAGACATAATATATACCCCACAGGCTGCAATTGAGAGCTGTTCCTATTGGTTCCTATCAGTTTTGTTTCTTCTGAATACAGATCTGTGACTACATACGACTTCTGTCTCATTTGGCATGAATCCTAGGTGTTACAGTTTTCGTAAGAGAATATGTATGAATAGAAATTTTAGCAGCTTCTTCATGTTCCAGTTTTTAACTAGAGAATTATATTCTCTATCCCCTCTCCTCAAGTAACTCATCACTTAGGTCACCACTCTTAACCTTTGTTTTTTCCTGATACTTCATTGGCATTCTCCTAGATTTAAAATCCAGTTTGTGGTGGAAGCTTTCCTGGAGATTAAAGTTGCTTTCCAGAACTAGCTTTCTTGTCTATCAGTTGTGAGTTTCTTGCCGTATGTCCTGCCACGTGTTTCTACAACAGTAATCCTGATGAGCCGGGGTAATAGAGGCAGTGCCTATGTTGAATCACCGACCTCTGCAAATAAAAGTTTATGAGCAAGGTCAAGAGTTACATCTACCTGGTCTTGTTGATTAATCAGAAGTTACTTTGCTCTTTGAGCACTGAGTAAAGTGAAAGTGCTACAGTGATTCAGTTAATCACGAGGAATATGTAATACAGAGCATTTCAGCTGTACAAAATCAGGGAAATACTCCCAGAGAGGAGTGTAAGTCTTAGCAGAAGCTTTTTCTGCATGGAATTCAGCTGATCTGATCTGCATAGACGTTTAGAGATAAGATGTTGAAGTACTGAATAAATTTAAAACGGTTTTCAAAACAGTTTTCTTTTCTGTATTCTAATGAAGTTTGCCATTACGCTTAATGGGTTGGTATCCTAAGACTCATTCCAGCAATTATGTGTTTCTTACTTCATAGTTATTCATGAAGTTCATAATGCTGTTCTTTAAACTGCGAGAAGCTGTTTTGAGTCAGAACACTGCAATCCTAAAGTTGGCACACCTCTGTCACAGACTTAAACCTGTGCCTGTAAGTCCTGTGTACTTGCTGACTATAAAACTTAAATAGCACATTCTTGGTTACCACACAGCCTCAGTGTACTCTGTGATTAAAGTGCAGCACTTTATATGCAGTGAGCTTTATTCCCTTGGGCATGGTGTCTGTGGTAAAGTACGACCGCAGCTCTGCTGGGCTCTTCATCAGACTTCCTTTTTGTAAAGTATTCTGAGGTATGAATGAAAGCTATTTATAATAAAATTTCATAAATAAATATTACTTATAAATGTTAAATTAGCAAATATTAAATTAATACCGTGCTGTGTTGCTAGTGGGTTCAGAATCACTTTCCTAGCTACTTTTGCCTTAAAAAGGAGGCTAATACAAACTGTAGACAAATCTGCTTTGCTGAACAGTCTGAATGTAGTCTATATTCCTGGATGTCTCCAAACAAAATAGATTATTCTATTTTAGAAACTGGTCTTGCAGTGAGAAGAAAAGATGCAAGCTGCTTTTTTACCTTCCCAAGTGGCTTGCATCATCCACACCCCTCAACTTTTACCATAGTCAGGAGACTGGGCAGAGCAAAGGAATACTCCTGAAAGAATTGAAGAGGAGGTAGCTGTGAGACCTTAATAAATGTGAGCAAGTCCAGTGGAAGTCATGAAGATGGCTTGGGGCTGCATTATGTGGCTTGTGAGGAGAGCCTTGAAGGAAATGTACCTCAATCTAGAATAGGTGGTTTGGGGGGAAATCTGGCCTTTCACTGCCAAAGAGACAGATACCAAAAAGGCAGAGCCAGGCTCTTCATTATGGTGTGCAGTGTGGAATGAGAGAGCATGGGCATAACTGGGGAGAGACTGACTGGATATCAAGGGGAGGGGAAGGGAGAATCACTGTATAGGTAATTAAGTGTAGGAGCAGGTTGTCCAGAGAGTCTGTGGATCTCTGTCCTTGGAGGTTTCAAGATCTGAGGACAATGCCCTGAATAAGCTGATCCGACTGTAGAGCTGCCCTGCTTTGAGCAGGGCTGGAGACTTGCAGTCCTTTTTGTCCTAAGATGTTCTGTAATCATTCAGTCACCTGAGAAATCATAAATTCATCTTCTCTCATTAATGTTCAAACTCTGTCCTTCTGGAGAAGGCTGGTATTGTTTGCTGACTGGTGAAAGAGGTGGAGTTAATGGCATTGCACTGAAAAGATTTCCTGAGCAGTGGGTGCAAGGAAACTTGGGTCCGTTAACTAATCAAGTCATAAGGAATGAAGGAGCTAAGTTTTAAAATCCAAATAAATTGCTGCTAATAAAGGCTGTAGGTTTTCTGTTGCTTCCTTGGGAAATGGCATTCAGTGATGTCTTCTTGAAGATGCTGTCTTGCCCACATTCTTCTTTAACAAACAGTTTGGAGGAAATCTGATGCACTGGATTTTTTTTTGAGGTGGAGAATCACAGATTGAAAAAATGGTAGATGAATTAGATAATGTGTATTCTGTTTGTGCCCCCCTCTGGGGGTATACAAAATTTGGACACTCTTCCAAAGTTGTACCATAGTGATAACTTAAAAATGACAGTCCTGCATCACTCTACCTAGTATTCGCTCTGTAATCTGAGACTGTAGTACTCACCTCTGTTAAAGGCAACGGAGAATCACACAAGAAGGGTGAGAGAGAGCAGAAACTAGAGATTCTTGACAAATAGGGTTAATTTTTGTAGCATGAGATACCTAAACATTAGGCATTCAAGTCATCAAGTCATCTAGTCACCTCAAGCTCCTATTGCTAGAGAACAGGTATTTTCAGTAGATGCATCATTTTGCCTATTTATGAAGGAAATTTCCTGGGTTTTGTATGGAAATTGATTGTACATTTAATGGTGGATAGTCTGTAAGAAAGCTAACTGAAATGCATTTAATTTTTTGATATCTGAATTCAGACAAACATCCCATGGGGGAGAGAATGTAGGTTCAGATCACCTCAGATATGCTTGGCTAATTATTTTTCTTTGTGAAGCACTTGTTCACCACAGCATAAGTGGCTTGAACTTGCCTTAAGGTAACTAATAATATGGTGATGATGTAGAGATCTCAATAAGCTTTCAGAAGGACTTCAGTGACACCTGATAGTAACACAGACCTCATCCAGCAATTTTATTGTCAAATCCCGATCTTTTCTCTACCAAGCTGCAGTGTTATGCTTCATTTTTTTTATCGATTGCTAAATGTCAGAAGTGTACTGATTGGAATGGCAGAGGGGATTGTCTTCATGATCAGAACACAGTTATTAATATTGTGCAGCACTTAATACTAAAATCACTGTACAATGCTGGCATTTTGGTCTGAGTTGGTGGCCTCCTATCTCTACTGTGCCAAGAGAAACTTCTGTGTAAGATGCTGGTCCAAAAGACAGTAACTAAAACAAGCATTGGTTTGCCAGTAATCCCCTCACTTGTGTCTTCCCTTTCATGGGTCTGAAGATGGAGGAAGAGGCTGTGAGAGCACAGACTAACTCAAGTTCTGCTCTCCACCCTTGGTCGCTCCCACCAGGAGAACCTCAGTTTGTACAGAAATAACATGCAATGTTGGCTGCTGCTGTAATACCTGCCATCCACCACAATTTCAATATGAACATGGATCGGCCATATAGTCCAAATAAATATAACTACTATACTTACCTTACTGCTTTCCATAGCAGTCACACCAAGTCTACAGTAGCCCCCTCTTGCCCTGCAAACATCTGTGACGTGTGTTGGATTTTCCTGTGGTTTTTATAAGAGTAGTGGATTTTACATTTAATATTGGTTGGCCATTTAAAATACAGCAAATGAGTAAATGAAAAATGGACTCACCTGTGTCCTATGTTTTGCACAGTTATATATGGTAGCAGAAATTCTCTTGCTGGATAACGGATTAGCACTGTTGCATGCATTTGTTTTTAAATTAGGCTGTGGGATTTTGCTGGCTGAAATGGTACTGGATGATGAGAAGAAGAACAGGAGCACAGCTTTGCTTCAGTCTTTGAACATGCTTGTGCAGACAGAGGGAAAGGAGAGAAGTGGCCCTGAATACCGAGGTTTACTGGAACAACATGGATTCGCGAATGTGAAAATCAAATTGACAGGAAATTTGTTAGATGTCATTCTCTGCATTAAGACATAGGAAAAAAAATCTACTAGTAAAATCTGGATCATGGTTGATGTCTTGTAACTATGTAAGTATATTCTGTTTCCCAATATAAAAAAAAAAAAAGATGTAACTGGAGTTAGTCTTAAAATTTTAAAAAGTGATTGCATTTATTTTAAATTTGAGTAAAGTTCAAAATAAAGAATGTGCTGGCAACACTTGATGGCACTGATACCTACTGTAGTTGCACAACACTTGTAGTACGGTCAGAACCAGGCTCCAAACCAATGGTATCAGCAGCCTTACAGTAGTATTGACGTTGCTGAGAAGTCAGTTTCTCTGTACTGGGTGCATTTCAAACAGTCCAACTTTTAGACCAGCGCACATTGATTGCTTTGTCCCCGCTTCAGGAGGTTAATGCAGGTATAACTTCAACACCATCCACTTTAATACCATTTTTGTTCTTATAGTCTCCACTGTAAATAAAGAACTATTATCCCATTTACTACTTACATGTAGCTTTGCATTCATTTGCATATTATTTTTTATACACTTCTTTTTCTTTGCATCTTTTTTTCAACATATTCTCCTCTTTTTCATAGTCCACAGTTTAGTTAAATGTTTCAAATGCAATTTATAGTAGTTCCTCCTTATTTTTTGCTCACCTCTTTTCTTTATTGTCCCCCAGTTGTGTGTGCGCTCTTTATGTGGTAAGAAAGTGTGTGGGCACAACAGGATTCCAAGTGGGGGGGGGGGGGGGGCTGACTGCCACTATACAGACAGGGTTGAGCCTGAGATGCAGGAGGTGCCACTCTGCCTACCATGAAGGCTTTTGCTCCCGTTACCTACCTGTAACTGATTCCTGGGATTCCTTTTCTTGTCCTTCCTCCCTCACAGCAGTGCTCCAGTTCAGCCTCGGGGCTTGTTTTCCCCTTAGTAATTAAGTGAATGAATATCATCACATTGCTGTGGTCTCCAGCCACAGGGCTCAGTCATTTGCAAGCCTCAGAAAACTGAGGGCTGTGGAAGCAGGCTGCTCCTCAGGAAGCACATTGTTCTCCTATCTACATCCGTTTACAAAGATGGGCTGGAAGGGCCATGACACCAAGTATTCAATAATAGACATGTGTGTATGTGTGAAAATCAATGATAAAAATCACACTTGCTTCAGTGTAACTGGCTTACCTTCTTTTCCCCTTCCTAAACTTGTTAAACACTATCTCATAAAATGCATTAAAGCATTCACCTGTGTAGCATGGAAATGTTAACTGTTAAATGAAGCCAGGAAACAG